CATCCAGTTGTAATTTCAAAATATATTGAAGAAGCTAAGGAAATTGAAATGGATGCTGTGGCTCTTGATGGTAAGCTAATAATGCACGTAATATCAGAACATGTTGAAAATGCGGGCGTACACTCGGGTGATGCAACTCTCGTCTTACCGCCACAGGACCTTGATCCTGCTACTGTACGAAAAATCGAACTCGCTACTCAACAGATCGCAAATGCATTAAATGTGACCGGTCCTTTTAATATTCAGTTCATTGCTAAAAACAATGATATAAAGGTTATAGAATGCAATGTTCGCGCGTCAAGGTCTTTTCCATTTGTGTCCAAAGTTATGGACGTGGATTTAATCGAGATGGCTACATTGGCTATGTTGGGGGGTGTTCATATTGATCCATACCCACCAATTAATTTACCAAAGAATTATGTAGCTGTTAAAGTACCACAATTCAGTTTTAGTCGTTTATCTGGTGCTGATCCTATATTGGGTGTAGAAATGGCATCTACTGGTGAAGTTGCATGTTTCGGACGAGATAAATATGAGGCATATCTTAAGGCGTTGATATCTACAGGCATTACTGTCACCATGCCTCGAAAAAACATTCTGCTTTCTATCGGTTCATTCAAGGAAAAGAATGAAATGTTACCATCAGTAAGAAAACTTCATCAGATGGGATTCAATTTATTTGCCACATCCGGAACTGCTGATTATATTCAAGAACATGGACTTCCCGTAAAATATTTAGTATCATTGGAAGAATCTGAGCATCAACTCAAATCCGAATATTCACTTCAGCAACATTTAGCAAATAATTTAATTGATCTATATATTAATTTACCATCAAAAAATCGATATCGTCGGCCGGCTAGTTATATGAGTAGGGGTTATCGCACACGTAGGATGGCCGTAGACTACGATATTCCTTTAATAACAAATGTCAAATGTGCAAAATTATTTATAGAAGCGCTTTCTCGTGAGAACGATTTTGAAATTTTAAATATTGACTACAAGACGTGTCATAAGAGGATGTCATTACCAGGTCTTATTAACGTTTCAGCATTCATACCTCATGTCGCAGAGTCTGATAATGATGATTTTGCACAAGTTACTAAGGCGTCACTTGCAGCTGGATTTACCACCATAAATATATTGCCACTAGGATTGAATGAGTCTTTGAGAAACGCGAGAACAATTGAAGTTGCACATAATAACAGTCGTAATAATGCACATTGTGATTTTTCGTTGTCAGTTATTGTTACAGAGAACAATGCTCAGGAATTGATGGCTGTAGTACCAGATGGTGCATCGTCTTTTATTCCGTTCAAAAACATTCAAGCTGATATGATACCTAAAATGGCCACCGTTTCTAAACATTTAAGCACTTGGCCTCCGCATTCTCCTATAGTCACTGATGCTAAGGGAACGGATTTGGCATCTGTTTTATTATTGGCAAGTTTACATAATCGTGCGGTGCATGTAACCGACGTAAGTACTAAAGAAGATATTGTTTTAATTGCTTTAAGCAAAGAGAAAGGTCTAAAGGTTACATGCGATGTCTCGGTATATGCTTTATTTTTGAACTCCAATGATATGAATGGCAGTGAAAGTATCTTACCTAGCTTGTCTGATCAAGCAGCTTTATGGGAATATTTGGAAAG